GCACGGCTCCGTCGCCGCTTCTGCTGGCCGGTGCAGACCCAGCCGGGCTCCTCCTGTCCCCAGCAGCACATGAGAAGTAGCCCCCTTGGGGCCTCGCGTGTGGGCGGCTGGGCCCGGAGAGCTGCAGCACCTGGGAGGGAGACTGGCCTGGGGAGCAGGCACCGCCTTGCTGTGGGGCAGGGCAGGGCAGCGGGGCTGGTTTGAAGCAGGCAGATGAGGAGGCAGGCACGGGCTGGCAGTGCCAGCGGCCGCTGCTTGGCCTCCCACGCGGGGCCGCTCCCCCGGGCCCTGCTGGGATAAGCAGTTCCCCTCCCCTTGCTGCTGGCTGGGGCCCGTGGGCTGGCCTTGCCTGCCTCGCCATGGCGGTGGCTTCACGCTCCAGGCTGCCACCGCCGGCTCTGCAGCCGTGGCTCTGCGGTCCAGGCCGCCGCGGGCCAGATAAAATGGCTTGGCGGGCCGCGTGTTGGACAAGCCTGCTTTAGATCAAGTGACAGGATGGCATGAGAAATACCATTTAAAAATGAGTTCTGGACTAGTTATTGCATGCATCTCATGCTAGATGCAAAGCTTTTTGTTTACTTGATTGGACATGTATGCATTTGAATTGGAGACTAAAAAGGGAATATCACCGTCACTGTTTTCCTTTTTTTTTTTTCTTTTTAAGGAGAAATGTGAAGCTTCTGCAAAAACTATTAATGTTTATTTTAAATGTACAAGAATCAAAGTCCCCCATAGTAATCATAGCACAACCTTGCTGGAGAGGCTTTAACGAAAGGCCGCATACAGTAATTTGTTTCACCATACGTTATTTCTGAAGGGAGCCTAGTATAATTTTTAAAGCTTTGACTTAATCTCGGCTTAATATAAATGTGGTGTTCTTTTATATGTAATTTTGTTTCTTACTAATGCAATGCACAACAATGCAGTAGAAACCAGTCATTTTAACTTAATTTTAACAAATTAAATCAATATTAAACAAGGTGTATGTTACTTGTTCTGTCTCGTTAGTTCAGATGTTGAGGTTAGCATGAAAATGTCTTTCCAGAAGGACAATATTCAGTATGTTAACAGAAAAATATTGCCCTGGGTTAATTTAGCAATTATTGTGCTGGGAAACACTATTTAGGCCACCATTCTAGTCGCTTATTATAAAGTGCACTGTTTTACATATAATTAGCAGTACTTATTAGCTTGTTGGTGTGTTTTTATTAGTTTATTTTGAATTTTTGCCTCTCTGGCTTGTGCAGCCTTGAATGAAATGAATACTGTTATCTTGTACTGTGGTAATGGCTAGAAGGTCATGGCCCCATTGTATTAAGCATTGTAAAAATGTATAACAAAGACTGTCTCTGTCCACTTCTATTTACAATCTTAGGTAATTGAAGATGTGAACATGTCATTTGCACTTTAGTACAGATTTATTGCACTACTTCTGAATAATGTTAATGTTATGTAGGAAAAAATAGGAACATTGGGATTGTGTATACTCCAATTTACTTATCAGAATGTTAAATCATCTCTCTGCCTTCCACTGAACAGATTAAGGCCTGGAAAAATTACTAATGTAGTTAACACGCCAGAGCGGGCATAAGCTTCAGCAGCTTCATTAATTACTTTCTGCATTCCAACATACAGTCAAGCAGACCTGGGAGTTTTGTTTAGGACCTGCTTTGGCTTAGTACATGGGTGGGCAATTTATTTGGGCCCCAGGGCTGTGGATAATCTGTTTTGGTGAGCTGTCCCAGGCTGGGTCAGCACCCCCTCTTTCTCCCTCCCCCATCCTCCCACAACAACTTGCTAAAACTTCCTATGTGGGTTGGGGCCCTGGGCAGTGGTGTTCAGGAGTGGGAGAGGTGGACAGGGCAATGCAGGGAGCAGATTGCAGCTGTGCCCTGCCTTGGCCTCACGCAATCGCCACCCCACAATCCTGACCCAGCCCTGGACACAGCTCTCCACCTATCCATGCACCCTTCCTGTGCAGCTCCCCAGACCTGTGTTCAGAGCTGGGGCCAGGAACTTGGGGCAGTGACAGCATAGGGCAGGGCTGGAAGCCACTGCTGGGCCTCACTGGTGGGCCACAGCACCCATGAGAGGGGGAGAGGAGCACTGAGAGTCCCATGGAGGAGGCTGAGGGGAGGCAGGGGCAGGGGATGGCCACTTGTCATTACTGAGCCTGCCAAGTGGGGGGAACTTAGCCTCCCTCCCACCTCCCCTCATCTGTTTTCTCCCCTGGCCTGGGGTGGACAGCCCACAGGCAGGGGAGGGATGGGGGTGGCTCTGGTGGTGACTCCACTACTTAGAAGCAGTGGCCATGACCTGGCCAAAGGGGACAGATGGTGCTGTGGCACCCCCATCCCATGCCAGCCTATGATTACTCGGGGATGCCTGTGTGGCGGCAGCAGCAGCAGCCCCCAGCCCTGCCACCTTGGCATGGGGCATATTGGAGCAGAGTGGCACTGGGGTGAGCTGTGGGAAGACATGGGATGGGGGCACCCTAGCGCCGCCCAGCGGGGCTGAACAAAATCGCTCCGAACCTAGCTTAGTAGATGAATAAATGTCCAATAACTTTAAAGTTTTAAGACATTTTGGAAATAGCGTTGTAGTGTTATTGAAGCAAATAAACTCAAACATAGGAGGGGAACAGAACACTATTACTTTTGCTTTCCCTTTTGGGTTCATGCCATGTTGTCTCCAATTTTTTTTCAAAAGGTGGATCAGCATAGCTTTAAAGTGGAGCTTACTGGTTATATTTTTGTTGTTTTTGTTGGTTTTTGTGTTTGGTTTTTTTTGGTGGGGGGGGTTCCTATAACTTTAAGTTTATTGTAGCATATTATGTGCTATATGTTTGTAATAGTGTTCTGTTGAGTTGATTCAGAGGCATTAGAGATTCAGAGAGATTAGAGCTGTCAGGCTGACACTGGTGAAATGGATTAGCTCTTACCTTAAGCTTTTCCTTGGTGGATAGAACGCCAGGCAGTCTGGGAAGCAGTTTGTGTAGAGCTTAGTTAGTCAGTTCTTTTCCATGAACAGCAGTACACTTGATCTGAGCCTTACTGGCTGTAGGAAAATGTTTGGAGTTCTCTCTCCTGGCATGGTGTTCAAACTATGCTAATATGGTGAAGTAAAAGAGAACCTGTAGTAAACTGAATACAGGTACTAGAATGGAAGAAACGGTTGC